GGTGGAAGTGAAATTGTCAGCTTCCTGCAGGCAGTTCTCCCAGAGCAGACTTCTTCCTCCTGGGAAAACTGTCAAAGCCGAGGTGGTATTCCCCCCTCAGGGGCACCATCGCCCCCACTGGGAGATACCCGGGAGGCTTGGAAGAGCAGCCAACTGCTCCCCAGGGTCCAGTCGAGTATTTCAGAGCTTGGACAGCTGGGCAGCTTTGCAGACAGCAGATAGCCTTGCTATCTGACTTACTGGGTAAAGGCTGTCCCCACGTGTGTTTCCCTTTGCTGTGGGGACGGGGACAACACTCAGGCCTGAGAATGTCTGCTCTATATTTGATGATTTGCTCCTGCTTGATGAAAGTTGGGCATAGTTCCGGCACGGATGAGATTTCTGTAATTTTGAGCCCAGTGGGGCCTGCAGCCGGCCTTGGGGCCCAATGAGAGCAGCTGTCTTTGCCTGGTTCTGTTTTCAAAAATAGCCTGTGTCTCCACAGCCTCCTCTGCCCCGCCGGACGGGCAGCCATGGCTCCAGAATTCATTTTGGCAGCCGCCTGGGGGGTGTGTGGGTGTGGGCGGGGATGTGCAGAGGGCTGTCTCCACGTGGCATTTCTCCTCCCAGGTACTCCTTGCCTCCGCTGTTAGTGAGAGAGAGTGGTTTGAAGGCAGGGTCAAGCAGTGCTTGAGTTCTCTGCCACATGCAGCTCTGGGACAGGCAGCGTCTCCCGACTCCTGGAGGAGTCTTGCTGGGGAGTCAGGATCCGGTGCCCCTGGCGATGAGTGGTGGGCCTGGCCCGGTGGCTGAGTTCCCTCTGCTCTCCCTCTTGGCTCCTCCTCGTAGGACAGCACCACAGGAACCAGGCCCCCCAGCCTTCATCGCCTCTACCTCCTGCACCCCGCGTTCCCCTCAATTCTTCTGGATCTGGCCAACACCACCGACACAGTGACAGCCTCTCAGGGTGAGTTTCTGCGACGGAGCCCCTCCCCACAGACCCAGGGACTTGTGCACTGGCTGCGTGTGAGGTACGGTTGCCTCCAGGGCGAGTGAGGTCTTTGCGTGGGAGGCATGGCCACCCCTCAGAGAGCGTCCTGAGAGGTGAGGGTGGGCATTCATGCAGCAGACACTGAGCGAACACCGAGCACACGCCAGGCCCTGCACCTGGGGCGAGCCTGGAGAACCGAGTAAGGTAGCCCTTGGCTCTGCAGGAGCTTTAGAATTTGGAATCGAGGTCGAGGGATTTGGTGAAGGAGGCAGAATATGTCTGTCAGGCCATTGATTCGGGCTCAGCGGAGGCTTTCTCTCGAACAGTAAAAGCAAGCATGCCCGTCGCTGGGAAACTGGAGTCAGCAGAAGCCTTGGGGAAGAGAAGCCTCCCCTCCATTCACGCACTAATGAGGACTGTTAGGGGCTGCTTGTCTGCTCTGTCCCATCTAAATGATGTTGCCCTACGACATTGGGATCTTCTCTTGAGTACCCTTATTGGAGGAAACCAAAGCCCTGGGTACCACCTCCCCCAGAGACTGGTCCCTGCCTCGCGTGACTCAGGGAGCATGCTGTTCTTGCTGCGAGCCGAACTGGACGGGCCATTTCCCTTTACTCTGCTCCCGTTCTCCGGCCACTCAATGACTCACTGGCTGTCCACGTCACTGCAGTCACAACCTGTGAGACTGTCAGCACCTGGCTCGGTGCTCCCAGTTTATTGGGCTCCACTGGGAAGAATGGCTAGCCTCAGGCTGTAGGTGCACCTGGGTGTGGCGGAGAGCTGGGGGCAGGTCCGTTTGCGGAAGCCTGGGCATGGTGTCGATGTACTGTTTTCCAGTATCAGCATACCATGCTATCATCCATTCAACGTTAAAGGATGGTAAGATTCTCGAGCCATTCTTATTAATAATTCTCGCCATAGAGCTGAGGCGCAGTCAGTGCTAGCTGGGTGCGTTGCTCACGTGACCGAACATCCAGGGTTTTCCAGCTTTCTAGTTTGTTGGTTTTGCCCTTTGAAAACACTGCGTCTCGTAGTTGACACATCTTCTCGTGTCCTGAGTTGAGGCTCTCTTGGAAGGCACTCTGGGGAGGTCATGTGCAGAGCTGGAGGAGACCAGTAGGCTGCTCCGTCTGCCTCCCGCCATTCACCCCTCTCTCTGCTCCCGCTCCAGCTCAATGCCTTGCAGTTACTACAAAGAGAAAACTCTGCCATTGCGTGGCCTCCAACCACTGGCGACCTCATGCGTCAGAGTAGAGCTGTGCTCCCCAGGGTGTTTGGTGGCTGGCTTTCCGAAGCAAATCACTGGGCTTCTCCCTAACCTCTGAATGGGCTTGAAGCTTTGGTCTTTGGTGATCAGCTGAGCTCTCTGTTTGCAGTCCCAAGGGACTCCTTGCATGTCTTAGGTGCTCAGTTACTTTCCTGTCTCGGTGAGTAACTGCATAAATGAATGTGTGAATGTAGTGGCGGGACTACACCACTCTTGTCAGTGGATGGCATCTGCCCTGGTTAACTGCTTTTGTTTCCACCCCTCAGTTGGCATCAACGACCTCTGGAAAGATGCGTTTTATGTCACCAGGACAACAGGGCAAAGGTCTGCAGGCCATTTAGCGCCCTTGGTGGTCAGCAAGCTGAGTCTGCGGTGGGCACTCATGGAGGGCCAAATGGTTCAGCTGAAGGAGACCACGCCGAAGATTGGCCGTGGGGAGTTGCGGAGATTCCTCTCTAGGATCAAGTTCGTGGATTCTCCTTATCAGGTGAATAGCTTCTGAGAGACTTGGTTGCTCTTGAAGGCTCGGGACAAATGCCAAGGCCGACTTTGCTCTTTAGACAGCGGGGAGCAGAGGGGGGTTCTTAAGCCGCTGGGAGGTAGATCACTGTTTCCCAAGTTTTCAGCTGGAAAGGGTACCCTCTCTCATAGGAGGCGTTTGGGAACGCGGGGTCAGTGTTTTTCATTGTGCAAACCACTGACAGGCTGGGTGTGACTGGACCGGTCTCTTCGGGATACAAACCGGCCATGCTCACCTTGCCAAGAATCAGTCATCCTCAAAATGCCCACACCACCCCCGGCTGTGGTCTGCTGTGGCCGAGGTCAACGTCCAAGAATGGATCTAGGAAAAGATTAGGTCTCTGGGCTTCTCTAGAGGGCCACTTACACCCTGTTGGGACAAGACCAAACAGGTCATTTTTCAGAGGGACCTTCTGGGCCTGTAGGCTTCTTCCGTTTCTTCGAATTGTCTTTGAAAGTGTCTACCATGAAACAAAACAAACAAAGTCACTGACATTTCCACCTTTTCCCCTAGGCTTAGTGTGATGGACTCCTCGGTTTCCCGGGAGGCGAGTGGCACGAGCCTGTCTGTTCGGTAGCGACGGCGGGTCTTTGGAGGGAAGGAAGGCGCAGCCTCGTCATTGGCGCGCCTCGGTGGGCTGCGAAGCCACGTGGGAGGCACGCTGGGATTCTTGGACCGTGGCACGATCCGTTTGGCTGGGGCAGCTCACCTACCTTTACCGTCCCCACATGGACCCCCAGCCTTCCCCTCTTAGGCACCTTGCGGAGCCTTGGCACAGTGGTTATGTTCTCGCCGCTAACCTCAGGGTGAGCACTTTGAACCCGCCAGCAGCTTCTCGGGGAAAGATGTAGCAGCAGTCTGTTCCCAGAAAGATATTTGTCCACCTGTCCTCCAGGTTCACGCTGGGGAGGAGCTGACTCAGTGGCCGTGGGTTGGCGGTTTGTGTGCGTGTGTTTTTTGTTTTGGCACGCTCTGTGGGTGGTTTGGAAATGTGAACTTTGTGTGTTTTATTTTTGTATGTCTAATTTATAAGCTCTTGCTGGGAGATTCCAGTGACATTCTGTACTAGGAGGTGCCCTGTGTTGTTACACCGTGTGTGTGTGTGTGTGTGTGTGTGTGTGTGTGTGTGTGTGTGTACTTCTTCATGCTTCGGTGAAGTATTTTCCGGGTACGTCTTTAGCTCCAGGGATCCCGTTTCTTGCTCTTACGACATCCATCTGGTTTGCATGGTTGTCTAGAGCCGTCCAGATGACCTACCTCTGACATTGAAGGTCATTCTCCGTATTCTCCCCGCCACCGATCTACCTTGGCCACTTCCCAACCTGGGCACCGCCATGAGCCACACCAGCATTCACGTCTCTTCCTTGTCTCGTGTGCTGTCTTCTCAGGCTTCCCACCCACGTGTGTTCTGTGACCCTAAGAACAGCGATTTTCCTGTGACACAGGGAGCAAGAGCAATCGTTTAACTGGCCCCTGGCCGACAGAGTCCCTGTGACGCTCCCTCTGGGGTTTTGATTGTTGCGACAGTCATGGGTTTCGCACTGTGGAACAATGCAGGACTGTGCATGCGCTTGTGCTTCTCTGCCCGAATGAAGGCTGGCTGGTGGGATCACCCGAGCCCGCTCCCCGCATCCCCACGGCTGCTGCCCCACCATTTCCTGAGCGCGTGGCCTCTAGGGTTCCCTCCTCCCTGCCTTCCCCTGGAGTCCTCTTTCATTCAGGGACATTGGGCTTTGCTGGCAGGAGAGCAAAGCTGTTTTTGGACTTTCCCCTTTGCTTCCCGAGTCCAGTGGGCAGCCACTCTGACCTGCACCTCACCTTCCTTGTAGAGCCTTCGGCCCACTGGATTTGAGAACCCCCCATGTAAATAGTGCAACTTGTACATAGTTCCCTGCGCTTCCTGGCGCCCCTTGTGGTCCTCTCTGCCTGAGTCTCTTCTAGATTTGTAGGTCAACGTGCACATAGCAGAAACTCCCTTGTCTGCCGGGGGAGTGCTGCTTTTCTTCTCGAAGCGTTTGAGGCAGACGGAGATAAAAAGCCCCTCTCGTTTTAGCAATGTTAGCAAAAAAAGGGGAAAGCTGACTGGTCTGAAAGTAACAATTTAGAGTGACCATAGAGAGGGATGAATACATTAATTGCCCTCAAGGAGATGGGTTGGTCGGTTGATTCAGTGGCTGCGCTGTGGGGCAAACACAACCACCGTAAGGATGGTGCAGGAGTGAGCGGCACTCTGCCCTGTTTAGGTCGGGTTGCTACCAGGGATGGGTGCCCCAGCACCTAACTCCTAACGGTGTGTGCATGCCCACAAGACAGGAGAGGTGACGGGGCGGTTGGCAGTTGTAGATACAAGCTCGCTACATTTTTGGCCACTTGAGAGTCCCTGAGAGCAAATGTGGTTTCAGTCTCGGGAAGGCTTGAGCTCTGCAGCTCATCACAGACTGCTAGGGGACAGAGGACAGAGCCGAGCGTAGGAATGGCCAGTCTCAAGTTCCTTTCCAGGGTGCGAACCTATTTAGACAGAAGTTTCCTAGAGTCTCGGTTGGCCTAATGCCCAACTCTAAGAACTGATTCTATCCAAGGGAACGTCCCAAACTTTGGTGGCTGGCCTGTGGCCTGAGTGGGCCCCTCAAGGCCTGCACCTAGTTCTCTGCCACGTCGAAGCATTCTGGAAGGCCGCCCACTCTGGGCAGAAGCTAAACTGCCGAGCTGCTCACCGAGGACCCATGTCCACCGGTGTCTTTTGGACAGAGGCTGCTCAGATGCCGCCCGTGGGAGCTAGGAAAACGCCAGTGCCCCCGAGTTCTTCGTGACGCGTCTGCAGACCGACTTCACAGATAGTTGATGGTGATCAGGTGGGTTCTTCTCTTGCTGAGCTCCGTGTCGGCCCAGGCTCCTCCCCCTCGGAGCAGGTGCAGCAGGCGATAGTGGATAGGACAGGGAGAGAGCTTTGCTTGGCCAGTGTGGGCGCTTGGCTTCTCATCACAGCCCCTCAGTCACTTAGCCAAGGGAGGAAGTGGCCACCTTCTTCCCCCTTTCAGGAACAGGGCCCTCAGGAAAGCCCATACAACCACTGTTGAAAAATGACTAATTTGTGCAAAGTCCGTCATTCTTCTCCCAATGTCTGTTTTCCCCCGATCCCTCCTAACCCACCCTCCTCCCAGTCCTCCTCCTCAGCATCCCTTAATGGTCTCCACGTAGCCCCCTGCTGTGGAATGGTGACTCCAAACCCCCTTACATGTGAACTGCTGTGCTTATTGCCCATGTGACAGAAAAGCCCACTGGTGGATGGTCGGGAAACACGATGTGAAATGTGGATGTCACAGAATAAATACTGTGTACCCGACTGTCCTTGTGTGCTGTTCTCATTCTCCTTTGCCTTCAAGGATGGGCCTTGCCCCTGACGGGAGTGTGAATGGGTCAGTGTGATTATTTTTGGCGAAGACAACAGAGAGGTCCCTGGGAAGGGATAAGAGGAAGGTGGGGGCCCTAGAGAGGAGCATGTGCCCTCAACCTGTTGGCTGGGCAGGCTCCTGGTGACCTTTGGCATCTGGAGGACCATCATCCTCTTTGGAAATGCCTTGGTGGTCCAGTTTGGGAAGCGAATGTGTTCCCGAATGCCCCAGGTGCCTTGTTTCTTTTCTCTCAGAATGGCTTCTAGGAGAAGGTGTGGTAACTTTATTAGGTGCCTACCAGGTGGATGCAGGACACTAATTCAGAGCATGGAGGTAGCCCGACCTAAGATCCCAGAGCTCAGAGCAGTTCTTGTTACTTCCAGAAAGACACACACACCTTTGGGAAGTGGAACCTCAATCCCTCTATTGCTAATTTGCTTACCTGTCCTCAACATCCCAGACAAGTGGCCAGATTTATAAGCCCCTGAATAGCAGGGGCCACATCTTTCTTCCCTCCCCTCTTTAATCTCTTAAGAGCCCTGGCGGCATAGTAGTTGCATGTTGGGACTGTGATCTGCAAGGTCAGCAGTTCTAAACCACCAGCTACTCCTTGGGAGAAAGACGGGGCTCTCTATTCCTGTAAAGAGTTGCCATCTCAGAAACACCAGGGGGGGGAGAGTTAGCAGCAGACACAGTTCTCTGTTTACCTGGAGCAATAGGGGAAGAAGACAGCCAGGAATAGGAGAATAGGGAACATGTGACTCATTTTCTCGGTGAACAACTGCCTTCGCTATGAGGCCCAAAAAACTGGTTGGCGAACAGCGCCCACTGCTAAACATTTTGATCCAAGATTTCATAGAAATCCTGAGGGTGGGGGATGCAGAATATAATTTTAAATTCTCAAAGATTTTGTGATGCTATAGAGGTAGATGAGTCCCTGATATTATTGTCTTGGGGTGTGGGTGGGGGTGGGGGACAGGTTAATCTCTATTGCTTACCTCAGGACCTAGAGCATAGCCAACAGTAGGGAGGAAAGGGGAAGCCGCATGTGGGGGAGAGCAGTGAGATGGGTAGTATAGCCAGGTTGCATAATGTTTCCCCCACACTCATGCCCACCTGAGTTTGTAAATAGCCTTTGCAGGCATCCGGAAGCCAAATATTAGGATGGGCCCTAACTCTGATGACTGGTGTTTTTGGAGAGGACACAGAGGAGGTCTGTCCTGTGAAGGTGGGGGCAGAGAATGGCATGGAGTGGCTACAAGCAGAAGGTGCCAAAGGTCACCGAGAGCCAACTGAAGGTAGGAAGAGGCCAGGGAGGACCCTCTCTCCTGGAGCCTGCAGAGGGAGCACGGCCTCGCTGACACCCGGCTCTCAGACTTCCAGCCTCGCCAACTGGGGAAGTCCATTGTGTGCCTGCACTGAGGTTCGCCCTAATTTGTGACGGCAGCCACAGGAAGTGCACACGGGGGTTGTGGGGCGGAGGGGACGTGAGACAACGAACGCTCTGACGGAGAAGGGGCCCGTTGGGACTGGACTGTAGGAGTCACTGGCTGTGAGGCCGACCATAATCAAGAAGCAGACTGAGGCGTAGCCCAGGTGGATAACAAACATGTCAGGGAGGCCTTAGCCTGCTCTCCACACCCGCTTATCCCTAAGACCGTGCTCCTGCACCTGGGACCCAGCGCCCTCTTCCATCAGCCCCTGGCAGGTCTCGTGCTGCAATCCCTTGTTCTGTAGCTCGGAGGAGAAGTCAACTCCGTCTGAGATGGAGCGGCAGCTGGCCAAAGGTCCCTGTGGGCGGGCTGCAGGTGACAGCTGCTGAAGGAAACAGCACTGGTGGTGAGTGAGGCAGCCCAGGTTTTCTTTGAAGCCCTTGCTGTGCCTGCACTTGAACTTCAGCACCATCCTCGTGTACACGTTGAAGGCGGTGACCGCAGAGGCCATGCAGCTGGTGAAGGACACCCAGGCGGTGCTAGGGACGAAAGGGGAGAAGATGAAACCCCACCGTGTCCCCCTTTCAGTAGACCAGGCCAGTGCCCATTAGAGCCTGAGGGACGTGAAGTGCTTCTCCTCCGTGTCTTGGATCAAGAACTGAGGGCCAGGAGGCTTAAATTGGCCTGTTTTAGGAGGGCATGAAGAGCCCTGGTGGCATAATGTGCTATGCATTGGACTGCTAACTTTAAGGTCAGCGGTTCAAATCCATGAACTGCTTTGTGGGAGAAAGACGAGGCTAGCTACTCTCTTAAAAATAAGCCGTCTGGGAAATTCACAAGGGCAGTTCCACCCTGCACGATAGGATAGTTAGGAGTCAAAACAGACTCGATGGCAATAATTCCTTTTTTAGGTACTCTGAATATTTTGTAATAAGCGAAAGTAACTCAGATGGGGGGGGGGTGGTTAAGGAATTGGTGCGTTATGGAGTGCTGCGCCTTTATAATCTGTGTTTCCTCTTAATAATCTCCCAAGACTCCACAGAGCCCTCGCCTTCAGCTGTACGCAGGGGGCTTAGCCTCATGCAATGACCATCATCTCCCACGCACCCCACCCCCATGGCCCCCCAGACACACGCTCCAGCAAAACAGGTCTTTCACTCAGATACCAGAAGAATTGCCCTCTCCCTCTACCCTCTGTTTAGAGCAGGGGTCCTCACACTTTTTAAACAGGGGGCCAGCTCACTGTCCCTCAGACCGTTGGAGGGCCAGACAATAGTTTAAAAAAAAACTATGAACAAATTCCTATGCACACTGGATGAGTCAGCTGCTAAGCAGGACAGGCAGTGGCAGCAAAAACACCCGGCAGGCCGTATAAATGTCCTCAGTGGGCTGCATGTGGCCCGCAGGCCATAGTTTGAGGACCCCTGGGTTAGAGGGTAGCAGCATTGTTAGGGGGCCTCCAACAGGTGCCTCTGAGGTGTGTCACAGCTTGCACCAGAGGGGTTTGCTCAGGTGAAAGCCAATGTGGCCCTTGGCTTAAGTTTATAATGGGTGGGAAAGACATGAAATGAGGGGGATGGGGGTGGGGGGAATGCATAAATTCAAGACAGACACGCCAGGGAACTGTCAAACACACTCCTCAAAACTTGAAAAGCCAAACCCCTAATCCTCCCCATAGTTCTGGGAAGTTCAGAAAACAGGAAGTTTTGTGAGGTTAGTTAGGGATTCCATGAGGCCAAGTGCTGGTTAACGCCAGGCTACATGCTGGTCCTGTCTGTTCCTATCTGCTGCCCCTGACAAATGACCGAGCAGCCTGCCTCGCAGCCACATGCTTCCCAGGGAGCCTTGTGTGTGAGCGAGGCACTGTGACGCCAAGGTGAGAAACTGGATCTGAAAAGTGGGCTGAGCCCATGTGGTGGCTGCGCCGGAGGAGCCAAGCGGAATCGCACCACTGGTGGGGAACCGTGAACATGGGTCTCAGGAAAGACATCCCAGGAAAACACCGAACCAAACCGAAAGAACCAGCTGCATAGGTGTCCATATCGCTTTCATTAGATGGCCATCCAAGGCTGAATGGGCAACTGTGCTGCCAACGAGAGCATCCAAGTCCCGCATGACAGAAGAAAATGAGCAGCTCTGGGATGCTGAGAAAGTTCAGCTTGAGAGAGAGAGAGAGTGTGTGTGTGTGTGTGTGTGTGAGAGAGAGAGAGAGATGGTTGCTGCTTCCGGCTTTCTATGAGGAGTCTACAGTAACTGGCTGTGGTAGGGAAAGTTGTTGCTAAAAGAATGGAATTAGGGGAAGTTTAGAGTACTTCTTTAGAGGAGACTGAGCCAGTCACAAGGAATGCATTACATCCAAATTGTAAGGCTAACTCCCACTTTCTCTGTTCACCATTGCCTTGAATCATGCAGTGTAACTATAAGATACAAAATTTTATAGTTATAAAATAACTATAAAACAAATCCATAAGCCACACGAAGGGATTCTTTTCCTATGCGGAACACAAGCAACAGGAAAAGCAATGGTTAAACAGCTGTATCCGAAGAACAACGGGACCCAGCAACATCCACACAAGCAGGAGGAGACTCCTCCCTGCCCCACTCTAAAGTGCGGGCAAGAATGGCCACGGCCCGATGGCCCAGCCCTGGGTCTGGGACGGAGAGGAGGCAGAAGGTCCTGAGCAAGCCTCCAAGCTGAGGGGAGGAAACGCTAATGAAGGTTGGCTGGGGAGTGGGGTGAGGAAGCTCGGGAGATGCTAATAAGTCACTTCCTAGAAGGCCCAACCATAATTCCAAGCATGTGGCCTCCAGTCCTCTGGACCCAAGTTAGCAGTTGCCTGGAAGACCCAGGAGTACAGCATGTGGGCCGCCATCCCTAGAAGGCCTACGAGGAAACAAAGGCAGAGCCTTCAGACAGGCTGTCACTGCCATCCAGCGGGAGGACAATCAGAGAGCCATCGAGCTTGGGACGCCCCATTACCCACCTACCACCACACTGCCCGGGAGACTGCTTAGCAATGGGAGTGTCTCTGGTTATGTACAACTTTGGGATCAGTTTCCCCAAGTCCCCAGTGCTCTGCTCCCCACCCCCGGTGGCCTTCGTCTTGATCTGAGAGAAGCACCTCTCACTTTATCCAGCCAGCGTCCCCTGGAAAGGCAGTGGGTGTGTCGCAAGAGGCAAAGGTTGAGAACTGAGGAGACATACAACACACCTCTAGTTCTTCAACGTTCCCCCGCCCCCACTACCACGACCCCAGTTCTACCTCACAAAATCAGACGAGACCAGAGCATGGACACTGGTACAGATAAGAGCTGGAAACACAGGGAACCCAGGACAGATAATCATCCCCTCGGGACCAATGTTGAGAGTAGTGATACCAGAAGGGGAAGGGGAAGGTGGAGGGAGAAAGGGGGAACCAATCACAATGATCTCCATATAACCCCCTCCCAGGGGGATGGACAACAGAAAAGTGGGTGAAAGGAGACAGTGGTTGGTGTAAGAAATGAAAAAAAAGTTATCAAGTGTTCATGAGGGAGGGGGTGGGGGGAGGGAAATGAGCTGATACCAAGGGCTCAAGTAGAAAGAAAATGTTTTGAGAATGATGATGGCAACATGTACAAATGTGCTTGACATAGTGGATGTCTGTATGGATTGTGATCAAAGCCTTAAGAGCTCCCGATACAGTGATTTAAAAAAAAAAAAATAATTGTATTGGGAGCTTTTACAACTCATCACAATCCATACAGACATACATTGTATGTCAAGCACATTTGTACATTTGTTGCCTCTAAAGTGATTTTTTTTTTAAAGGAAAAGGTTGAGAAAGCTTGCAAGGAGATCACCTTGTGAGGCGTATCGGGATCCAGTGGGAGACTCCCCATTTCAGTGTGAAATCTCAGACGCCTGTTACGCAGCTCACACTCGCCTTTGGGCGCCTCCTCCCTCCTCTCACGATAGAGACTCGCTCCTTTCAGCTGGCACTGCAAGGGCGTGTGAGGCCAGCCACCTCTGTCCAACCACCTGGGAGGCTCACCTGACAGCACGGAGAGGAAATGGCCACGAAGGCGCTCAGCTTGAGCCCGCAGCCAGGGTTTCCAGTAAGGAGCACGTCCGTTAGTAGCAGGAGGAAGTTGGTGAGCTGTAGTCCAATGTAGGTGACCTGGGCTCCCAGTGATAGCCAGAGGACCTCTCCTGAGAGACCAGAGGAGGAAGGCATGCTCACTCCAGTACTGAACAGATGGACCAGCACAGGATGCTGGCCGGGGGTCAAAGCCTCAGTCTCAGGGGGGAATGAGACGGCCAAGCAAGGAAACGAGCCAGCAACACCACCAAGGGTTGGCTTCTCTGGCTTCACTCCTGAGCTCCCTGTCTGCTCCGTTCCCAGTGTGATGACCAGAGCCCTTTGACTGACTGAAACCACTGCTAGGGAGGTTTGAGAAGAAGTCATCCAATTTTCATAAAATCATAAAATGATACATAGCTCTGGCCTCTTTTTCTTAATTTTGAGACAATTCTGTTTGGATTTCATGCTTTCTCTTCCTTCCTTTCTCCTGATGCTCCCTCCTTCCATTTCACATATGTATTTTTATGTGTGCGTATATATGTATGTATATATATCATATATATTTTATGTATATACACACACACACAAACCAAATTATTCAACCTAGCTACTTGGCAACAGCTAGTGATGGAGTCTGAGCTGCTGGTGGACGTTATCCCAGCTGTTACGTTGACTTTCCCCCAAATGCAGCCAGCAGCCAACTCCAGGAGGGATCTGTGTCACCGGTGGGGCAGAGACGGGAAGAGAAGGACGCGGTCTACAGGACAGGCAGTCCCGGGGATGAACTTCCTTCCAACTCGTACAACTCGTAGTGAGGCACCACCGCCTGAAAAGCCTATTCTCTACTAAGCAGCTGAGGTATTTGTATTAACACCTGGCTCTGCTTGGTGGCACATATAAGGACATTATTAGCATCCCTCTATAAGTTATTTTTCTATTATGTTCAAAATGTTTTAGTGTATTTCACACCACGTACAAAAACAAACTCAAGATGGATCAAAGGCCTACAATGTACAACCTGAGAACTCTCAAAGTTGTCCCTGGAAACGCAGGGACAAGCCTAGGGGCCCTGGTGAGTGGCATGGAGACACCAGCAAACAATGACACCCACACAGCAGAAGACAAACGACTGGGTGGGCCGTCTCCAACATGAGCCACTGAGTCAGACGACTTTCGCCCAAGAGTCAAAGGAGAAACCACCGACTGGGAAAAAATTGGGCAGTGACATATTAGACGAGGGGCTCGTCTCTAAAATGTTCAGAAAACATCAGCACCTCAACAAGAAAAGGACAACTCAATTAGAAACTAGGCTGAGGGCATGGACAGGCGCTCCATTGAAGCGGGGAATGATTCTTTAGTGGGTTTTGGGTTTCTTTGTTTTGGGCATAGAAAGGCATACTGTATACAATACACTAAGACACACATTTCAACTAGGTCTAACTATTGCAACTCGGGCAAATTTAACAGACAGGCTGAGGCACAGAACTTGTTTGTAATATCAAGACTGTTTCTACACTCCAATCACGAGGCACCCAAGTAACACCAACTGCCTTCTTCATCAGACTTCATACTTGCCACAGCCCCAAGGGAGGCGTGGGGTGGTGGGCAGAGCCTGTCCTATTAACCATTCCTTCCAAATCAGAAAGTCGGGGGACGGGGGCCTGGCAACCTGGCCCTTTCCAGAAGTCCGGCCTTACCTCTCTCGGCTGGTGGTGTGAGTTCACTGAAGCTTCGGCACCTTTCCCCTGAAACAGATACAAGGTGCACCTTCAGGGAAGGCCTTATCTGTGGCAGTAGGGAGGAAAGCCTTCCCCAACCCCATACCTGGCTCTGTCCCTTTAATCTGGATCATAGGTAGTGTCAATACATGTGTCTTTGAAAGCGGGCGTCACAGGCTAGAGCCATCCAGATGAATTTCTTTCCTCCCCATTAGTGGTCACGAAGAGCAAAGCCCCCCCCCACCCCAACCCTCCGCGAGTGCCCGCATCGAGAAATGTTCCCACTTCCTCTACCCGGAAGCGTTCACAATCCCACCATTAACCAGTCGATGCCTTTTGAGCTTCTGGAAGGCCTGGCTCTAGTTGGTTCCAGGCCTGGCGTTGGAGACGTGCTCCACAAGTGAAAATACACATCCTTTGACGTCCTCCCTCATCGCCCTCCCAGTCCCCTGCCAGGCGCCCTTGCCAGCGCGCCCGGTGACTTGGGTGCTGCTGTGGGCAGGACTCGGCGTGCTGTCTGATTCCCACCGCCCGCCACCCCAAGGAAGCCACGTCGACCCATGCACGTCTGTGCCCACGTGGCTGGAGACCTGGGAGGGTCTGGCTTCAGCTCCTCGTGGGCTGCTTTGCATGACCTTGCTTCTGTTCCTTGACTTTAAAAATTGCAACAGTGATAAACTGAGAGAAGGCTTCGTCCTTAAGGTTAAGGCTATTTAAACCAGCATGCCCTTTGGATAGAGACGGGCTGACATGCCAGCCGCAGTCTTGATTTGGCGGAAAGAAACCCTATGAGGGAGGGGCGCTGTGTTGAGCCTGGAGGGGGCACGAGGCCCAGCACCTTGGAAGAATGCTCTGCTTCCCATGCCTCCCCCAGCCCCCCAGGCCCCCAGCCCTCAGCTTAACTTGCCCAGCTGGCTTTTTTGCTGCCTGGTTAGGATGCCTTGGGGTGGGTGGGTGGTGGCCGGTGGGGGTCGGGGGGCAGGGCTGGCGTGTTACCTGGCTCTTCCATGGTTTCCTCGTAGGACAGCCACATGCCACTGTGGAAGGCCCGGAAGGAGAATCGGCCATCCCCAGTCTCCCAGCTGTATTGTACCACCTCCTGGGCTGATATGTGGGTGCTGCCCCCATCCAGGGACATCGGCACATCAACGCACTGGGTGGCCAGGCCTTTTCCCCCGCACAGGGGCTTCGGCACCTTCTGTGTGTCCACAAACCATTGGTTGCTGAACAGGGATGTTGTGGCGAGTATGAGTGACCGCCGGTGGAGAACAGCAGATAGGCAGGTCCGCTGACTCGGGGGCACCTTCGGGAACTCCATCTGCAAAAGACAAGCAAGGGCGTGGAGCGAGAGCTGGAGAGTGTGGCCATCTTGGCTCAGCTACAGTTCCCACGCTGGCCCCCTTACCTGTGGCCCCATAGAAGACAAGCTGGCATCTGTGGAGGTCCAGTAATGGGGGTGGTGGGGGTGGTAGGGAGGATAAATAGTAAGTAGCACGCGGAAGTAGAATGCAGAGCATCCACCAGAGGGGGTGCATTTTGATGAAGTTTGCAGAGTCCGAAAGAAGGCCTCCCTCAGCTGACAGACCCTAGGGAGTTTGAGAGGCCATGAACGTGGCCACAGGAATACGATCAATTCCTGTGCCGCTAAGCTGCAGTGATGGAGAGCAGCCGCTAGCTGGCGCCCTCTTGTCCGGCAGCGACAGAGTCAGACAGACAAGGTGCAGCACCACAAATAGCTCTTGCCCGGTCTCCATCTATTGGAGTCATGCCCCTCTCAGGACTCATCCTAAGCCCCATCTCCTATTAGGTCCATGAGAAGCGAGGCTTGGAAAGGCTTCGAGGAAACTTGGTTTTTACCTTCCCCAAGATACACCTGGAGACCTGGGGGATGCTAACAGCAAGGCCAGAAGTTCAGCCCCACCAGCCACTCTGTGCCTCTCTGCTCCAAGGTTTACCGTCTCAGACACCCCGTAGGGCAGTCCTATTGTTCGACTCAATGGCAGTGGGTTTTTGTTTGCTTGCATGCGTTTGTATATGATGCTCTTATCACATTTGTGAGCCCTGGTGGGATAGTGGTTACGTGTTGGGCTGCGGACAGCAAGGCCAGAGGTTCAAAACCCCCAGCCGCTTTGTTGGGAGAAAGGGGAGGCTTTTAAGTTCTGTGAATAGCTACCGTCTTAGAAACTCACCGGGACAGTTCGATCCTCACCTATAGGGCCCTGTGAGTTGGAATTTTGATGGCAGTGAGCTTGGCTTTGTGTATCATATTTATCTGTGGTCAGCTCTTACCTCCCCTTCAATATTCTACTGCCATTAGGTTGCAAACATGTATGGTCATTTTGCATCTAAGACACTGACAGCATGATTATTACGTATGATTTCATTAACCATCAGAGAATAATCTGATTAAGTCAGACTGGCACTAAGCCCCTCGGGATGTCTTCTCTAAGGTTTAGAGAAAGAATCGAGGAAGGAGCATTCGAGCTGATGGTGATGGTGTGTACCCAACTCCTGGTAGAGAAGTGTATGATATGTGAATATTATATCAAGAAAACTACCAAACAGCAAAGTGAAACAAAACTTGACCTTGGGTTAGCGTGGGTAATGGGGGAAGAGTTTTTGCCTAGGAGGCAGTGAGTTCCCTTTAACGGTGGTGGAACAATTTGGAGAGGGACCACAATAACAGTTATACAACAGGGAGAGTCTAATCCATGGCACTGAATTATACATAGATAAGTTGAACTGGTGGGAAAAACAAAGAATCAGAAGCACCCTACACACGTGGTTTGTGGTTATATTTGGGGGGCTTGTTTCCACAGACCGGTGACAGTGAGGCCGACTGACGGCACTGCTATTGTCATGAAGTGGGCTAGAGTCCCCTCCGAGGCAGGTCCGGGTTCTCTGAGGGGAGTGAGTGAAGGGGGCAGGGTGAATGTCACAGGGCCCCCCTCCAGAGCAGCACGTGCGGGCTTTGGGACCTTGAGGGCTGTGGGATGGAGGAGATGGGGCTAAGTGGTTCTGAGAGGCCGAGATATGAGAGATTGGAGCCACTTCCATTGGCTGCCACTGAGACCTTCGGTGGAAATACCTGTGTGTCACCCGGGGAGGTTGGACACCACGTGCGGTGGCATGGAGCAGGGTGGGTGCCCGTGATGAAGCCCTCAGGCAGGGTAGCGCTCCGTGGGCTGAGTGGCATCTCATTCGCTAATGGAGCAGCAGCAAGCTGCCCAAGAAAGTACCCATGACCAGTGCGGCCCTGCTAGACGGCCCTCGGCGTCTGGTCATTCAAGCTGAGAGGACAAAGGAAGGCTACTTAGAAAACGACGAAGAATCAGACAGGTCCACTGTGGTAAGCGGTGGCTCAGAGCCCGATTGAATCTGAGTTAGAGAAATGAAAATGCCCATGCCTTGCACTTTATATTTGTGGAGCCGTATATACCGTTCGATGAACATCCACTGCACAGGAGAGAAGCCCGTCCTTAGTGGTGGACAGACACTGGCTGCCCAGGGGCTCAAGCTGGTGACAGTGGGCCAGCCCTCAAGCTGCTTACTTTAAGAGATGTCAACATAACCGTAGCTAAACGAGACAGGTCCATACATCCATCTTTCTCAGCACCCCAGCTTCCCATTGTCTACACTGAACAGAGAACCGTGTCTTAGAAATACAACAGTTTATTCTTCAGAATTCCCAGGGCCTAAAGCAGGGCATCCACCATCAGTGCCTAGTATTTATGGTGGTAAGAAATAGACAGGGTCCATATGTCTATGCAAACCCGTACACAAAACACACAATGAAACAACTCCTGGGAAGCAAGCCGTTAATATGATTTTTTTTTTTAAAAAAGCACTCGGCAAATTAGCTCCGCCAAGAACTGTTCATCCTTGCAACACTCTTAGAGACCTTGAACTACTCTTCAGACCACACTATTGGGAAGAAGGAAACATCTTATACAGGAGTCCTGTGTTGCAAACACCCCCCTCCCCACCCCCACCCCATGTTTTTGCCTTGGTTTCAGTTATGAACATCCTATTGATTTTAGTCACGGGTGTGTTCCTATGAGTTCTTCTTTCTAATTAGTCTTATCCATTGCTCCAAGAGAAACTGAGCTTCCAGGTAAAACATCATCCTTCATCATTCTGTATAAAAATCAAATTGTTGTAATCTTAGGGTTCCCTTTCAGTAGCTTTATTTCCTACCTTGCTTGATATGTGGGGGCCGATCCACTATTGTAGTAGAGTACCCCCCTACACGCAACCCATTCCTGACGTATTTTCCAGGTTGTTCAGAAAGGGGAATAGCAGGTCCCACCTCAGGGCACAGCCACCCAGCAGCACACCCAGGTGACACTTATTTAAGAAGGGTTGGCATGACAAACGAAGGCTGAGAGAGAGCTCGGACTGAAGCTCAGAGAAGGTCCTTCCAGAGGAGCGGCCACCAAGGACGATGCAGGAGCCCCATGTTCAAGGACACTCTCCAACCCCTATCGAATCATGCTTCTTGTCACAGACGCCTCTACTTCCTAAAAGTACACCCTTTCTCCCCAGGATCCAAATAGCTCTTGATTTGGTAGGGCAAATCTAAATTTTGCAATGATTTCCTGCAGGGGGAGTTGAACTCACAGAAGTAAGAGCCATTAGAAAATCTGTATCATTGCATTGTGTTGCCACCACACCCACCCCCACCCACCCAAGGTGACCCTTTATGCTCCCCAAAAGTGTCAAAGGGTGACTTTGCTGATGCTCAGGGACTCAGATCAATACCAAGCGCATGGGTCCATAACTCTCCGTAACTCGTTTAGCAACATAAATTAACAGGAAAAGTCGGAATAAGCTTAGGCGAACGCAGGCAACAGAGTGATAAGATTGCACCCCTCTTGACGAGAAATGGGTGCTAAATAGCAATGGGATGGGCCTCCTGAGCAAGATGAAGGGGAAGCTGGTTACCTTGGGCAGGATCAGAGCCTTGCAGCTGGTTCAGAAGGACCACAGGGTGCCATCTGCTCTCCAAATCCCTCTGGTTTAATGTTGGAAGAATGAAAACTGCCTTTCCACCCTCCTCCCTCCCCTTCCTGCTCCTCCCTTTGATTTCATACGTTTTTGGGGTGGCTCATGATTAAATGCTGCCTTGCAGAGAACATGGGCCTTTGATAATTGACAATGCAATCTTGGCCCAGCTGTTCTGGGAGATTACACAGCAGCGCGTGCCAGTGGAGATCTGGGATTAGGCACCAAGCAGCAAGGGCCTGCATTTGTAGAGAGAAGTCTCTAACAAGTAACTGATGGTTCCGTTTCTGGTGAACCACCGTTCTCTGTTGCTGGTGAGAATGGAGTGGGCTGGGTTGTGTGGCAGATATCACGGGGACACTGTGGCATGAGAAGTTCCTCTGTCCTCACAGAGGATTTTCCATCTCTTTGGATAAACTCTACTGGTGGCTGGAATGGCTTTCACGGCAGTGGGCTTTCAGTTTGGTGTCTGCAATATCAGGGCTTCGCAGGGCGACAGGAGATAAACTGCTTCCTTGTGCCGTGGTTGGCTTCTACAGCCTCCAGTTGGCATCCTTAGTAAGGACCATTCACATCTCCGTCCACACGTAATGCTGAGAGAGGAGAGGGAAATGGGGACCAGGGTAAAGATAAGGATGTGGGATGGAACCAGACTACTAAAAGCCCAAGCCAGACTGGCTGCCATCAAGTTGATGCGGACTCACAGTGGCTCTGTAAGGCCAGGGCTGAACTGCTCCTGTGGGCTTCCAAGACTGTGAGTCTTTACAGGAGTAGAAAGCCCCGTGAGGAGCGGCTGGTGGTTTAGAACTGCTGACCTTGCAGTTAGCAGCCCAACGTATAACCACAACGCCATCAGTGAAATCCGGGGTCACCAATTTCATGGTTATATTGCATTTCTCCCCCAAGCTTAAATAAACAAATGATCTGAGAAATCAAGAGAGGGTTTGATCACATTTCTTCTTGCTTCTGGTCCTCTGGAAGTCCAGGTTGTACTTTATCTCCTCAAAAATTGTACCAATTAATCAGGATGGCGTTGCTGGAGACACCCTGTAACTGTGGTTCCCTAAACACGCCAGGGACTTCCATCCTCCACAGCCTTACAGATGCACTCCTGCTGCTAGGAAAGCTTCATCTCCTCTCTGGACTTGGGGAGCCCCTCTCTACGAGACTGGCTTAAGAAGTCCCTCATCCCTTTCTCCCTAAAGAACAGCGGCTTCCGCTCTGCCGTCACCACCTGGTGCCTCTCACAGGACATGCTGTGTTTTACTTTAATGGTCTCTCCACTCGATTATAAATTCTTGTCACCAGGGGCCT